AAAAAAAAAAAATTGGAATCTAAAAAAAAGACTGTATATACGTATATTGGCCATTTAGTTTCTTTTTTTCCCCCTCCACAGTAAACACGGTATTTTTTTCCCCCACTTTCTTTTTCATCTCCATCATTTTCTTTTCAAAACATTAGTTATAGTTCTACTTTAGTTTTTTTTTCTTCTGTTCTTTTGTTCTGTTCTTTTGAAGCTCTACGAAAAACAACGATGATAACAGTGATTATAATGGCAACGATGATGACGATGATGATATTCATCGCTTTAAACTTCTATTTGCAAGTAAATTACATACAAAGATAGGAAGAGAGAAAGATGAAAAAAAAGTGACAATAGATAAGCGAAAACAACAAAATACAACAACAATATGAAACACAATATGAAACATACAAACAAACAAACGACCAAAGACGGCTTTCAAAAAAAAAAAAACTGAAAAAAAAAAAAGTAAATGGTAACAGCTTATAGTTTAATCACTAAGCTGCCACTCGTGGCACATAATTTCCCACTTGTCTCGTTTTCTTCCCTCCTCGTCTCCCTTCCTTTTTGTAAAATGTTTTGTACACATATAATCTGTCTGCAAAAGGAGAACTAGAAATAAAAAAAGCTGACCTATGCAAATTATGACTGTTTTGATGACAAACACCTTAAAATGTTGCATTAAGAATGGGAAGAAAAAAAAACAATTTTACTGCCTCAACAATTCTAATGATCTGAAAACTGCTGCAAAAGAGGCAGATGAAAAAAATAATAAAGCATTATTTGTTCAATTTTTTTCAGCAATTCCACCTGTCTTTAATGACTGTTATTCTTCATGCAACCTTTGCCAAGTTCTAGCTGTGAACCGGAATTCTACACATAATCAAGCGATACCATTGACACGGCACATCTAACAGTCATCCACCACCGACAACATCTTTTGTTCCAACTGCCAACAACGACAGTAATGGCAAACAAAGCAGGAACAACGATCCAAGATGATGATACACCAGTTATGCAGCTCTACATCTGTCGGCTTCAAAAAGGCCATTTGCCATCAGAAAACAGTTTCCTTTTCCCTGATCATGTCTTTTTATTTTTCTTCTTCTTTTCTTTCTTCTCCACGTCCCTTGTCCTCCCCACTTCCCTCTACTATCGTTAATTCTTTTCAATAACCCTCATAATGCCAGATAACAATGAAAAAAGACAGCATAAATAAAAATAATCACAGCAATAATGAAAATGTTAACAATAATAGTACCAATAACAATAGTACAATAATAATAACAATAACAATAACAATTATAATAATAATAATATCAACAATTATAAGAGTGACGATAA